TTGATCTGCAGGGACATGATCACTGACAACTCCCAGCAGCCGACAAACGCTGGATGCTCATTAGATACAGTGAATTTTGATGTCACTAAGGGCATGCCAGTGCATCTCATGTGGTCTCAATGTGATACATCCCTCTGTAAAAGTTGTGTGGGCAATATAGTCATCAAAAATTTTGATAAATCCATTGATAATAAAGGGTCATATGGTACATCTGCTTTTTGGAAATATCCTTGTAAGGTAGTACATGATGAAAATGGGTCAAAGGGCTCTGGATTTATACACTTTTGAGACACAAGAAGCTGCTGAAAGAGCTATTGAGAAAATGAATGGAATGCATCTTAATGATTGCAGAGTCTCTCTCAATTAAATCCCTAAAGAAAGACAAGCAGAAATTGGAGCTAGAGCAAAAGAGTTTACAATGTTTACACCAAAAATTTTGGTGAGGACATGCATGATAAAAGACTTAAGGAGCTCTTTGGCAAGTTTGAATCTGCATTAAGTGTAAAAAAGTAATGATTGATGGAAGTGGAAAATCCAAAGGTTTTGACTTTATGAGCTTTGAAAGACATGAAAATGGACAAAAAGCTGTAGATGAAATGAATGAAAAACAAATGTGTGTTGACTGAACTTGGAAAAAGGTGGAACATACAACACAGCAAACACAAATTTGAACAAATGAAGCGGGATAGGATCACCAGATAACCAGAGTGTTAAACTGTATGTGAAAAATCTTGATGGTCTTGAAAATAGTTCTCACTATTTGGTACTAGTGCAAAGGTTATGGTGGAAGGTGACCCCGTCAGAGGTTTGGGGTTTTTACATTTCTTTTCACCAGAGGAAGCCACAGTCACAGAAATGAATGATAGGATCATTGCCGCTAAGCTGCTGTATGTAGCTTTAGCCCAAGCAAAGAGGAGCAAATGGCAAATGTCTGAGCTGTGCTCAATCCTGTGTAATCAACCTCTCTTAACCTCCTTCATGTTACTTCATGGCAGCTATTCCTCACACTCAGAACTGTGCTGCATGCTGTCTTGCTAGCCAAATTACTGAATTGAAGTCAAGTCTTCACTGGACTCCTCAGGCTTCCAGACCTCATCCATTCCAGAACATGCCCGGTGGGACTCCCTCAGCAGCTCCTAGGCCGCCATTTAGTACAACGAAACCAGCTTCTTCACAGTTTCCATCAGTGTTGCAAACAAATTTCCACATCCCACCAGCTGGTGCTGTTGCAGCTACTCCCGCTGTCTGCACAGTTCCACAGTTTAAATATGCTGCAGGTGTTCACAATCCTCAGTAGCATCTTATCGCAAAACCGCAGGTTACATGCAGCAGCCTGTTATTCATGTGCAGGGTTTAACTGCATCCATGTTGGCATCCATCCCTCTTCAAGAGCAAAAGCAGATGTTGGGTGAATGGCTTTTTCCACTCATTCAGGCCATGCACCCTACTCTGGACAGTAAAACTGTGGCATGTTTCTAGAAACTCACAATTCTGAACTTCTTTATATACTTGAGTCACCTCGAGTCTCTCCATTCTAAAATTAATGAAGCCATAGCCATACTGCAAGTGCACCAAGACAGTTAGTAGTGTCACTGGCATTCTAACTGCTTAAAAGAAAAGATGAGGGACCGTGAAATGGAACGTCTGCATCACTGAAGAAAAATACCTAAACATCAAAAAACTTAAATATTATGAAAAAAAATTGCAAAATATAAAATAAAGTAGGAAACTGAAAAAAGTAACCGTTTTCAGATGTTTTGATGGTTTTTGCTGATTTTTTATGTTTCTTTAAAAAGATATTCTTTGTTATATGCTATGAGTGCTTCAAGAGGGAAAGCAGATGGATATTGGGAGAAATTTTTGCAATGTAAAAACAAACTATCAATAAAACCTTTTTGAAATTTGTAGTAATCTTCCATCTAGAAACAGACTTTCAACTGTTCAAAAATTTTATTCAAATTTTTGCCAAATCAAGAACTAGCAGAGAAATCAAAATATTTTAAGGAAAAATTAACAGCCATTTTAAGGCAAAATGGGAAATATTTTCCATAGTTACCTAGTGAAAACAATACTTGTTAGAGGAAATAAGTAGGCCTTCTATTCCTATGTTAAGGTCATACAAGATTGCGAAATAGGTTCAACCACTTAGACAGCCTTTTTTAGTTTTGCTTTGATTATCAAGCCAGGCATAAAATAAGACGACTTATGCTTGCAAAAGGTATTTGCTATTGAGAATGTTAAACAGGAAGTCCAAATTGGAGGGATTTCTTCTAGATAGTGAGGTCTTCCAGATGCTTTTGAATCCCAGAATAATTTTAGGGCTTTTTCAATGAAATGTGAAGTCACTCAAAGCCATTGGTCTGTTTTTGTGTGTTTTGATTTTTGCTGTGACTGGTTCATGGTTTAGTTATACAGAAATGATTCTGAAATAATTCCCAAGTTACCGACCTGTATATTGAGGTAGTCGATTTTATATGTGATGATGTTTGATGCTTTCAGCGTCTAGCACCTTCTCACCCTCTTAAAGAAAGTATGCAGGAGCAGCTAGGTGGCTCAGTTGTTAGAGCAGCGGCTCTGGAGTAAAGAGGGCTTGAGTTCAAATCCAGCCTCGAACACTGTGTGACGCTGGGCAAATCATTTAACTCTGATTGCCTAGAAAAAGAAGTATGCACAATTATACAGGATTGACACTTCTGAGTTGTCTATAAGACTGCCTTCTCTCTCCCCCCTTCCCTATGCCCATCTTCACATTAAAGTTAGAGTGTCCATTTTGGGAGGATCTGATCAGGTTTTTAATACGATTCTCCAGAATAGATGCTAGCATATAAACTAGAGTTAACTTGATGGTAGGACTCAGAATGAAGTAATGGAGGTTTACCTCATTGATACTTATTGGAAGCACCTCCTTTTTTTTCTCTCCTGGAGGAACCTGTGAGTCGTTCTTCCATCCAGCTGTGGCCTCCTTATATCTTCTGGTATATTGAGAATATTGATGTGACTCATTTCCTGTAGATTTTGCCTTGAGTACTAATAGTTAATATTCATAAGTAGTCTCTAAAATGTGATTTCTTCTGTCCCCTTTTCTGCCACTTCCCAGAAAGCCATTCTTTAACCTAACTGTAACTGAACGTTTACTGTGAACCTTCTCTCTGCTTACATATTTGATATGTGATTTTGCTGTATACTCTTTCAGAATGTTTTGTAAGTGTTCTGAATGGGTTTTATGTGAATATTATATTGTTCTAGCTACTGTAATTTCTTGGAGGATAGGAACCTTTTCTTTCCTTTCATCTTGGAAGGAGGGGAATGTCTTAGCATCCAGGACCTTGGTTAATGTCTAGATCAGTGCCTTTTTGTTACAGATGAGAAAATAGATTAAGCTTGGAATGTTCTCCCTAACCCTAACTCCTCCACACCTGATCACCAATCTCTTTAGCTTCCTTGAAGTCCCAGCTAAAATTCCACTTGTTACAGGAAGCCTCCACCCCCTTTTAAGTCTAGTGCCTTCCTTGTTAGTTATTTACTGTTTATCTTGTAGCAACTAAATGACACAGTGGCTAGAGCACTGGGCTGGAAATCAGGAAGCCTCATCTTCATGAATTTGGCTTCAGATACTTACTAGCTGTGGGACCCTGGGCAAGTCACTTAACCCTATTTGCCTTAGTTCCTTATCTATAAATGAGTTGGAGAAGGAAATGGCAAGCCACTCCAGTATCTTTGCCAAGAAAACAGCAAATGGGGTCTTGAAGGGTTGCACACAACTGAACAACACATTTATCCTGTACGTAGTTTGTTTTGTATGTGTTTGCATGCTGTCTTCCCCATTAGATTGTAAGTTCCTTGAGGGCAAGGACTTTTTGCCTCTTTTTGTATCCCCAGCACTTAGCATGATACCTGGTACGGAATAGGCTTTTAATAAATTATTTGATTTGATTAGTTGTCCAAGATCACAGAGGTGGGATTATGATTTCCTGAATACTTCATTTTGCTGCCCTCCCTATATACTCACTCGGTCTTGAGCATGTTTTGGTCAGCTCTTTGTCCTGAATGCTTACTAAAGTGAATAACTGGAATGTGAAATTGAAAGAAAATTTTGATTATTTTGATTTTGTTCCAAAAATTTCTCGTGTTTCTTTAGACTGTGATCTCTTAGATCAGTTTTTCTGAGGTATCTTTTCCAGATTTTAATCCAATTTTTAAATCATCTAATCTAAGGTTTTTCTCCCACTGGAATCTGCAATTTAGAATTTTGTAATTAAAAGAGTGATTTTTAAAGGGTTTTAGTATTCTTTACTGCATAATGTTATATTATTATGTAAGCCCCAAAATGAAAGTGATTCACAGAGCCATCCTTAATAGATGCTAATTGTCCAGTCTGTCCTGGGACAAATCTTACTATATCCTATATTCTGTTTTGATCATCCTTCTGATGAAAAATTTTTATTCTGTGAAAGCAGATTAAAACAAAAAGAAAAAGGACCCACAAAGAGGAGTTATGTTGGAGGTGGGATCTAGGAATGAAAATACCAGATTTTTTGAAGTGTACTTTTTAAAAAGCAGCATCTAGTAAAGCCACTACACCCCCCTCCCCCAACTACTTCTCTGGTCACTTCTTTGTTTTGAATGCTATTAAAATAAATTGTTGAGATATTTATGAAATGAAAAGTAAATTTTGATGAGTTTGATTTAGTTCCCAGAATTGTATCTCATATTTGTCTTTAGATTGAGATCTCTTAGATCAGTTATATTGAGTTATTTTTGAGATTTTAATCCAAATTTGTAAAAATCTTATGTGGGGCAAGTAGGTTGAGGTGATATACTCTGGTTCTAGGCACTGTATTTTTCATTATAATAATTTATTTGATATATTAGAACATGTGATAGACTAAGGGAGCAAAGTGACTATAGGCACAAATTTAGGAAATATTTTGAATTCTGGGGAAAATATTTGTGGATCAGAACATACTTACAAGCTTATTCATATGCCATATCTTTTGTAGGTAAAAAAAATTCCCATATGAAGAAGAAAGACTTTCTTCAATATGATGGATTCAGAAGCTCATGAAAAGAGGCGAAAAATCCTGTCTCCTCCACAGCAGGATATATCACCTCAAACTGTTAATGAGTTTAAGCATTACCTTTGTGGCTGCTGTGCAGCCTTTAACAACATAGCAATCACATATCCCATTCAGAAGATCCTTTTTCGGCAACAGCTGTATGGACTTAAAACTCGAGGTGCAATACTTCAGTTACAGAAGGAGGGATTGCGAAATTTGTACAGAGGAATTCTGCCTCCATTAATGCAGAAGACCACAACATTAGCACTTATGTTTGGTCTCTATGAAGATTTCTCTTCCATTCTCCGCCAGCATATCAGTTCTGAAATTGTAACTCGAAATGCGGCAGCTGCTCTGGCTGGTGCAACAGAGGCACTTCTTACACCACTGGAACGCGTACAAACATTGCTGCAAGACAACAAGCATCATGATAAATTTGGAAACACTTATCATGCTCTCAAGGCTTTGAGATCCTATGGAATTGGAGAATATTATCGAGGTTTGATACCCATTCTTTTCCGTAATGGCCTCAGCAATGTACTATTTTTTGGCCTTCGAGGACCCATCAAAGAACATTTGCCTGAAGCAAAATCTTGTAGCGCTCATTTGATTGATGATTTTATCAGTGGAGGTTTATTAGGTGCCATGTTGGGATTCTTGTTTTTTCCAGTGAATGTTGTCAAAACTCGAATGCAGTCTCAGATTGGTGGGGAATTTCAGTCTTTCCCCAAGGTTTTTGGAAAAATCTGGCTAGAGCGTAATGGGAAATTGACACATCTTTTCAGAGGCGCCCATCTGAATTACCATCGATCCCTCATATCCTGGGGCATAATCAATGCAACTTATGAGTTCATGTTAAAGCTTTTATGAAAGATGTCATTAATAAATCCCAGTAATAAGCTCAGTAGAACTTCCAAGAAGACTTCAGTTATACCCTGGTGAACAGGCTGAATACTAGACAGTGTCATAACTCAAACTGAGCAAGATGAAACATGAGCAAAGTAATTTTTCTTTGGGATAAAAAATGAGAATAAAGGTTTATGGGTAGCAAAGTTAAAATTATTTTTATCAGTACTTGCTAGGTCTAGAATTTTGTTATCATTAATTACCATCAGTGTTGATGGAAAGGTTCAAAGTCCAAGATGAGATTTTTTTTTTAATGTAAATTCTTTGAACCATCTGTATTAAAACTTGAGCTGCCATGAACAGCTAGAGAAAAGAGCCCTAATGTCCTGTGATTTCTCAGGCATTTTGTGCTTTTCTCTCTTGTTTACTCTCTAGAGCTGTAGAAAAGAGTCTTTAGTTTTGCAAAACAGAGAAGAGAAGCAGCTCTGTTAGATATGGGCTTTTCGTGAAAACTGCCTACCTTTACTGTAAAGCCAAATGTGTACAGTCACCAAAACTGTGTTGCTCTTAAGTCACATAGGATTTTATTTGTGGTGATGGAACTGAGCAACTTTTATTCGCAAAATAACTTCCTGTTCTGAAAGACTCTAAATTAACAATTATAAGCTCTAGTTCTTTTCTAGATGTAATTCTCTTTATTTAATTGATCCAAGATTTATGTTGAACCCTTCTTGAATAACTTCAGGTGTTGATTTATTCTTTTTAAAGTTAATTTCATCACAAAAATGAGGAAACTTGAATCCGTTTGTCCTTTGAAGCAAAAATTTTCATTCCATTCTCACATGGCATAAAACTATGTTTCATTGAATTAGTGCTTCATCAGCAAAGGTGTTTTGTTTCCTTGCATAGTCAAAGTTAGGTAATTTGAAATTCCACTAACTCTATATCCCTTCTTCCTCCCTCCCTCCCTTAAAAAGAAGCCGCTTTATTTAGTTGTTACTTCATCTCCACCTGAGGTATGTGTCCTGGCTTTGCAAAAGTTCGTTATTTTGTAGCCTATGCTTTCTCTGGTTTCTGAACATAAAGGAACAAACCTGAAGTCTTGCTTTCTTTTAGACTAGCTAATTTTTGCATTCACTTAGTAAATTTGTGTTGGGACCCAAATTTTAGATTATCTTCATAAACCATAAAACTCATTCAAGTCTTAAACTCCTGAGTAAGACTTTGGAATTTTAGCATTTGATGCTAACGAGATTATCTTGATAGCTAGTAGATAAACAAATTGGAAATATCATTTACTGAAGAAATGGGATTTAAACCTTTTTTTTTTCTTCAGGTAAATAACATGGTTGAAATGACTGACATAAATCAGAATTTTACAAACATCCTGAGAAAATTATTTTACCTATAAAAGAGCTATTAAATATTATTTAACTAAAATAGGTTGGTTTTAAATACCTTACATCAGTGACTTTTCAACTTAGAACTGCTGCCTCCTTTTTTATAGGAATGATAAATGGATGTTGTAAAGCAATTTAATGTCCTAACCTTGCCATACAAATGTTTTAATAATCTGTGAGATTCTGTGCTTAAAATCAAGGCTTTAACCAGTGGCAGTTTCCTAAGTGTTGCATGGAATTAATTAGTGAAAAGTCCGGAAAGAATACATGCTTCTAAATGCAGTATATGACTGGCTGAACTAGTGAATTTTGACATCTTCTCTCCAACTATATGAGATGAGAATCTAGAAAACACCATTTTTTGAAAATTGCTTTATATAACAGCATTAACAGCTGTAAAGCAGCTCCATTTTGTTATGCTGTAAATGAAAAGGTATCTTACAAACTAGCATTAAGGATATTATTAACACTATTCAGGGTTAAATGTTACCATTTCAAATCACCAAATATGTGTGTATGGCAACCTAAAGTTTAATAAATGGAAGACGATTTGAGCAAATTGAGTGGAACTTTTCAGAGTTTAAAATTTTAAAAAATATATGAGGTAGTCCTTGACTTTGGTCAAGTTTTCAGACAAAACCTTTGGAAATGTTCCCAAATACTCACACTTATGTATGCATGCATTGTAAATTATTTCCCCCTCCATTGTACATTGGTCTGCTGAATTGACTATATTGTCTTTATTCCATCATGGCCTACTCCTGTGTTTACACTCCAGTTGGTAGAAGTTGTGTTCTTTTGCACTTTTGTAGACTATAACTGAAACTAGAATTTGGGGAGAATGCCTAGTTTTCCCTCTCTAAAAATGTGTTTAGTTTTGCTTTGTTCTTTTTTTAAAATAAACAAGTTGGGTCATGAGATAGTATTTTTAATGCTCCTAACTCTGATGCTATTTTGGATTTCCTTGTCACTTTTCTACAGCATGTGAAAGCCAGAATGAAGATGGTTTTGCATCACACTCTAGACATCTTAAATTTGACAAAAGATTGAATGATACCTGTGTGGATCATTTAGCCATCTGCTTTGTTCTGGACTTTAAAAGAAAGAAGTAATAGTAGGCTGGGCAAGAAGTGTTAATCACTGAATTTTCAACTTCATTATAACTGGCTTGCTGTAAGACTTTTGAAAAGGTAAATGTTGATTGAATAACTTTCTTTGAAAAGCTTTTAAAGTGGTCTTTGTGTCACCCCATTGTCTACTTGTGAACATGGGGGTGCTTTTGGTTTTGCCTTTTTGTGCTACTTAGTTTACAGTTTTTGTATACAGTCCCATGTGCCCTCAATATAGTAAAACACAGCCTTTGTATGTTAACAACTTCTGTTGCGTCTTTACTTATTTTATTTAGAGGTGGCAAGAAAAATGGCCTTATGAATATAATCAGCATTCATCTTACCTAAAGTAATATAATATTGTGAACAGTGCTGTAAAATGGGATAGTGTGGATGGAGAACTAAAATTCCTGTTTAGATTATTATTGTAATACTTGTATTACAATGCACCATAGTAGAAAGATAAGTGTAAGAAAAAGAAAGGGCATATTAATAAAATTGGGCTTCATGGTAAACCAATCATGTTTAAAAAGTAGAGTCAGTATAGGTGAAATTATGTACTGTGTGGTATCCAGTCATGAAGTAAAATTTGCAGTAAAAGGGAATGCAGAAAGCACATGGATCCAGTTTTGCTTTTTAACTTCAATAAAAGGTATCTCCATTTGTTTTCTGATGAAGAGGAAAGTATTATGTATATTTTAGGAACTTGAAAATTTTCTCTCATCTTAATTTTTAAAGATTAAATAATCTTGTTTTTAAATTCTGTCCTTTGGTTATTTAAAATACCCTAAATTGAATACTTGGCAAATAGCACACCCTGTTTTCTTATGCATTGCATTAAAACTATTTTCATTTGATATATGGAATTTAGTGATTTTATGAATTTATAAGTGAAGCCTGTTAAAATGTCTGATTTTTCTTTGTTAACATTTGGTGTAATGTATTTGTCAGTCTTCCCTCTTTGGTCTTCTGTAGGTTAGTGCATTATTCTTTGGCCCATTTTTTTCCTGGGTCAAGTGACATAATTATATAAAACTTTTAGATTATTTTGGATTACATGGAGGCTGCAGATCCTTTGCCATTTCATTTGTGTCTCTTAACCTAAATCAACTTTTATCATCACATATTTATTCATTGCTTTACTGTAATATTTCCATTCTCTATTTCCATGTTGTTCCTTCGTTATAGAACTTTCCATTCATGTTAACAGATCAGGTTGCATCCTTCTACCTTTTTTTTGTACATTATGCCAAAATTTTACCTGAAGACCTTTAAGTATAATAATAGCTCCTCTATCAAGCATCAGACAATAGTTCCTCAAGTTAATTTCCACATACCTGAAGCTTACTGCTATAAGCACTAAAACTTTCTAAATTATTGGAATGTGTTATGTAGATGCCCATTTTCTTAAATAGAAGATACTAGAGGGAATTAACCTTTTTTTGAAGGCTGAGTCATTATTGTAGTCTGTGCTGTGATAGAGCTCTTGTTGCCTATTTAGGTGTATACCGTTTTTCAAGCCTATGTTATACCCTCAAGCGTTGTGCTTTTTTGAGTTCTTCTGTCTCTCCGTCTGATAATTTTTGACTGTTTCATTGTTTTCAACTTTCACTTCAGCATTCTACAGTTTGGACATCTGGGAAACCATTTAACCAGATTTGTTTTAATTCTAGATAAATTAGAAATCAGCTCTAAGCAAGTACCTGAGTTCTCAGATGAGTGAAGATCACACGCTTTAATGTAGTAAGCCTGACCAGCCAACAGCAGCTGTCAACTGAGTCGTGTTTTGCTGTGTTCTGTATAGATTGCTGGCTCCCTCTTTATGGGAATGATGACATGGCTGTGGAGCTATTAAATGTCCTGTCCTTGCCATTCGAATGTTTTAATACAGTATGTGAATCTAGGTATAAAATCCAGGCCTCAGTAGATGAATAGTTTACTAACAGCTGCACAAAGTCTGGAAAGGATATGTCCTAAATGCAGTGACTGGTTGAACCAGAGAATATGACATCCTCGCATAAAGAATGAAAATCTGGAAAACACCTTTTTAAAAAATTGCTAGTAGTATCATTAATGCAGCTCAGTCTTGTCATGCTAGAAATAAAAAAGTATCTCATAAACTAGCACAGTCTATTATGAATATTGTTTGGAATTAAACGCTAACATTTGAAGTTGCCACATAAATGAATTGTTTCTATATAGTGGGGTACTTTAAAAAAACAAGTTATACCTTGTTTTAACTAAAACTTTAGAGAATTAAAGTAGGAAGTTGTTTTATGTAATGAAAAACCTTGAATTTGACATTTTTTCAGGGTGGGAGGATATCATAAATTAGATGGCAGCACCTATTGATAAAATAAGACGTAGTCAAAGAAATAGGGTAGCCAAGGTCTGTGAGATTTAGGTGCCCAGTTATTTACCAGGCATGAAAGAGAGTCCTCTGATCATGGATGGGATATGGGAGATATCCCACAGTTGAAAAAGTGCTTCTGTACATTTCTAGCAGGCTACAGTGTTTAGTGCAACAAAAATTTTAGAATCAACAAATTGTTAAAAAAAAAAAAGAAAGAAAGAAAAAATTCAGATAATGCATCTGATTTTGCAGAGGGAAGTCAGTATAAAAGGATTTATTTTAATCAATCTGATTAGTAAACAGTCTTCCATAAAATGAGACACACATGCCCAAGAAAATTACTTGTGACATTATCAGGTCATATTTGACTCTTATTGGCAGATTGGAACCAAAGTGTCTTAGGAAATCTGGTTAACCTAGTGCTTATGATGGGATCTTTCTCTCTAATCTCTGTAAAAAAAAAAACTGACCTTTACGCTGTAAAATGTTTACTGACTTGAGATATTTAATTTTAGAAGTGTCCTGAAGCCAGAATGAGAATTTACGGGTATTTTATTTTTCTTAGGTTCTTTTACACCTCCTGTGCCAATCTCTCAGACTCATATCTGACCAAAAGTGGATAGAAAAGTGTGGACAAGATGGAGTGGATTGTACCACCCAGCTTCCTGAAGGCACTCTTAGCAAATTTGCAGATGACAAAAAATTGGGAGGAATACTCAGAATGACATACTAAAGATCTAAAAAGGTGACCACATGCTAGAGTAGTGGGCTGAAAGTAACGTGAAACTTCATAGGGATAAACAAACATGACACTGAAGAAAACAATCTAGATCAGCTAGATTAAATTTATAGTGGGGTCTGTGCTTAAGGCAAATTTGAAGGTGCTGTCAAGTCTCAAGATTCATGAAAGTGTCTTGGAAAAAATATTTGTCCTGACCGGAGGCATCTAGGGTGTTACAATATTCTGCCTGTAATCAGGAAGACCTGACCTCGAATTTAGCCTTAGACATTAAGCTAAAGGACCCTGGACAAGTCACTTAGCCTGTATGCCTCAGTTTCCTCAACTGTAAAATGGGAATCATAATAGAACCTACTTCTTAAGGTTGTTGGGAGGATCAAATGACATTTCTAAAGCATTTTGCAAACTTTAAAGTTTAAATCTTTAAATGCTAGGATGTTAAAAAGGTGAAAAGAACGTCAGTAGTTATCCACATACCCACTTTACCATCTCTACAAACATTATATAAGGATAATCCGTATACACATTGACAACACTCTTAAGGTTTAAGAAAGGAACAGGAAGACTTTTGTAAACTTTTATAGAATGACCACATCTTTATAGGCATACGATTCAGAGGTGCAAAGAATACAATGAGCTCATTGTGCTTACTGTTTATTGATTATAAAAAGCATTTGATTTAGTACAGGAAAATGCCACTTTTTTAAAAGCAAGGAAAAAACCAACTGGATCAAGAATGATTGTACAGATGGATGGATAGGACATAGAATTGGGACAGACACTGTAAATGGACCACGAGTCTGGTCTGTGGTTGAACAAGAGCAAAGCAGGCTACATTGTATTTGAGAAATACAAGATGCTTTTTTCAACGACCCCAGGCCTCTCGATGAAACCAAAGGCCCATTCTTTAAAATAGTATTCCCCTGAGCAATTATGACCAATTTCTGAAGAATCAGAAGCTGAGAATCCCTGAAAGGGTAATGAAGAGAGACACAGTAAACATAAGCAAGCAGCAACACATCAACAAATGAATTGTGCACAGCAATGTAACAGATGTCATTGGACAAATACATGGCTAGGAAAAAAATAGGCCTGTCATGTAGCAAGAACAGACAGTAGATGACATTGTCAAGCTGAAGGCCCACAGGGGAAAAAAAATAGGCCAGTTGCATAGAACATGCAGGCATGGATAAGTTGAGATTGTTGTAAGAGAGCAATCACACTGATGAGATCATAGATCCATCCAAGTAAATGGTAAAGTGCTACGCTGGACTTTTTATCATTTGCACAGATTGGGGAAGGTGAGGCTACACACTAGTTCATGTGAAAAAAATACCTGGAGATTTCATTGACTGCAAGCCTAATTTGAATAAGCAGTATGATGTGGAAACCTGAACAAAAACCTAATGCACTCAATTGAGTTAATAAGAATATGGTATCCAGAGTAAGGGAGATAATTATCCTGTCTTCATGCTCTGCTAAGTCCATACTTTCAGTTTTTGGGTCTAGACACCAAATTTTAGAAGGATACTGACAATCTGGTGTATCCAAAAGAGAGAAATCAGGATTGTGAGAGAACTAAATAATGCAGGAGATTGTTACTAGAGATGTTTATTAGCATGGGAAAGATGGGAAAGAGAAGACTTGGGGGAAGAGGGTTAGAGCTGATAGTTTAAAATATGTGAAAGGACTGCCATGTGGAAAAGGGAATAAATTGGTTTTTGTTTGGTCCCAAGAAGCAGTGTTATGTAGAGGAACAACCAGTGTTTGAAGAAAGAATTCAATCCAAAGCCTACTAAGCCAATCTGCTTCAAAGAAAGCATATTTTCCATCACTGGAGGCCTGCAGTCAAGCCAGCTGAGCTGGGGTGTTTTAAAAGGAGATCTTCCAATTCAAATGAGGGGAGGGAATATTCTTTAAAGTAAGCATTCTTACTTTGAGTCATTCGGCCTCTAAGCAGTGCTATGAAGGTTATTCATTTTAAAATCTTAGTTTGAAGGATAGTATCTCTCTAGGTTCTTTACTGTGGTGAAAGGCAAATGATTGCCACTTAGATGTTCTGTTTCATTACTTGGCATTTCTTGTGAGAAAGATGATCCCATATCCTCCCTGTGTTATTAGAATGAAGAAAATAATTAAACTAATTTATTAAATAAACTAATAAACTTGAGTTGACATGTAAATTGATGAACTGATGTGTTAGAAGAGATTTTATTGAGAATTAGTAAAGATGTTTAACCCTTTTCTGAGGAAACAACCAGTGAAGTGGATATGCTTAAGCCCTCCTTGCTGATTTCCTATTTCTTTACCTCTTCTGAAAAGGTTAAAACAGACTGAATGGCAGGGAAATATAGATGCCAGTGGCATAGTGCAATGAAGGATGTCACACAGTGAAATAATTTTAAAAGGGTCCTTAGGTAGCTCATAGTAAGTACGAGCAGCACAAGGAAAGGTGGTTCTAATATGGAAACAATGCCCTTGAATAACAGTTTGAACTTAATATTGAAAAGAAACTGAAATTTAGGTTACCTTTTGTTACAGATGAGATTTCTAATATAATGTTATCACAGGTACCTGAGTATGTAGTTTTAACATATTGATAGGTTGTTTTATATACAAAAATCTGTAAACCTGCATTCCCTCTTTTACATCCCCAAGAAAAACAGCCTGTGTACAAATATTTTGTATATTTGAGTATTTCCATCCATATTTAAGTCAATGCCTCTGCTTCTCTGGCTGTTGGTTTTTGTTTTTCAGCTTGTATTGAGCGATACAAAAACTCTTTGATAGCGTATACTGTCAATGCTTGATTTGGGCAGGGACCTTAAAAGGGCAAAAGTGCCTAAGGAACACTTTAGTCCCAAGAAAAAAAAAATTAAGAACATGAGTGAAGAGACTTTACAAATCATTTAGTCAAGCTGATACAGAAGATAAGTAGGAATTTAATTAAATTATACAGCTGATATTAACAGTACAGCAAACATAGTAAGGAAATCTGACTAGGTGATGTAACAAATGGACACATTTTTGAGAATGGAAATTTTTAACTCAAGGGCTTTTTCATGTCCATCTACCTGACTTAACAGGTTAAGATAGCTATGAGAGAGGGCACAGATCTGCAGCAAAACTGATCCAAGTAAATAATCCAGTATTGATATAATTGGCACATATTTCATAGTGATATGGAAGTGACTGTGTTCTTAAAGTCAAAACAAAGGAAACATAAGGCTGTGACAAGTCCTGTCAAATTGGAAAAGTTTTGCGTATGGCCCATTGATGTTTGCTGTCCAAGGACCAGCCTAAGTTCGGAGACTTTAATCACCAGAGGCTGCCAATTTTTTTTTTCTGCAACAGGAAACTTGAGACAGTAAGACATACCAGTGGTAACATACCAATGAATCCTTGGAATATTTTAGTAATTTTTGTAAAAATAAAGCCCCTCAGATAAGGAAGTTGTGTTCCCCGGTTCCAATTTAATGTCTGTAGCAGGCTAGTTAATGAGTTCTAATTTCACTCATCACAAAACTAAAGAGTGACTGATTAAAACCTATTGCAGGGAAGCCTTCTACAAAACTCAGATCCTAAGAAAAAAAATGATTGCCACAGTTTGGGGGTAGGTCAAAAGGTAGAGAGGTCTGCCTGATTTTTTTCCTTTGTTCAGAGGGTTTTTTGATGTGATCAGGAAGCTTCCAAGCGGCCTAGAAGAGACATCTACTCAACCCATCAGACTAGCAATGTCTAAGACAATAAGCTGTGCTGATGAAGTGCCCAGATTAATTTGACTATTTTGAGAATTAAATTTTAGCTTTTAAAAATGTAGTGAAATCTTTATTTAGTCTTCATTTTTGCAAACAAACTTCAAATTGCTTATGAATAAATACAATGTATTTGGAACAAATCTGATACTCTTGTCACTCTGTAACCTTCAGAACCAATTTTTTTTTAACACATATATAATCTTGTCTACCTCCTCCCCAATAAAAATACTAACTGGGTAGAGAATAATTTTGGTGTGTTAATTGCATTTTATGACTGAAAGTCTAATGCTTTTTTTTCTTTAATGCTCTCATGTAATTTTAACTTTTTCCATTTTTCTTTAAAATAAGAAGTATGGTTCAAATCACTTTAAGATTAGGTTCAAAATCATTTTTTGTGGTAGCAGTACTTTAGGATTTTAAGTGACAGTCTGTTAGAGTATTTTATGTTCAAAGACATACGGCCATAACAACTTGGTTAACTATTCAGTAGCTTAATGACACTTATGTTAAACTTAACACCAGAAATGCTATCCCAGTCCTTTATCTTAGAGTAGCAACAAGCAGAGAGAGAGAATTTTCCTCTAAAAGTTAGATGTGCCCAAACCCAGGCACTCTTTAGTCAATTGTGGGGTTGTTATTCCCTTGCTCACCTAATTTTTATGGCTACTCTGGCCAATTAATATTTTAATTGCCAGTGTCTAGATTCCCTTTATTGTAGAGATGTGGCAAGTTATTCTTGGCATAGATATGGAAACAGACTTAAAACTATACACTCCTCTTTGTTTTGGAGTCTAATAAGAGTTATAAGCACATGAATTTCACTCTGTTAACCATAATTTAATAGTCCTCAGAATCGATACCACCCCCCAAAAAAAATCTGGTGAAAGAATTAGGTCTTAGAGCTGTGTTTAAAAACAGCTTTTCTTAATCCTTAACCACATTTCACAATGGAGTTCCAAACTTTTTTTGTAATGTGGTGACAGAACCCTAATCAAATCAATCATGTTAACTGAAAATAAATAGAAAATTTCACTTTAGAGTATAAACAAACGTAGCCACAACTTTTTTGAATGAGTTAGAAAACTATACCTGTCTGTGACTCTAGTGTGAACCTAAGCCTGTCCCTTATCCTCTTTGGACCTGTCTCTTTATCTGTAATGTGGAAATAATATTTAGACTACCCAACTCATAGGGTTGTGAGAAGTGTTTTATAAGCCTTCAAGTGCTATAGAAGTGTGAATTATTGGAAAAAGCAAGTAGATCACGTAATCCAAGGAATGATTTATGGCAAATAAACCTGCAAATAGTCAGAAAAGCAGGGTGCAACTGATCTTAATGTAAAACTTCTAGAAACACCACATGTATACACCACTAAACAAAGTAAACTGTTATTTCTGTTGTTAACCTTAATAGCCTACTGGTTTCTTCTGGGCTAAAAGTGTATGCCTGGGTTATTTAAAAAGCCATGCTTCATAATAATATTCTTTCAATTAAGAATGGGGTAGAATACAATGTTATGAGGTAGAATTTAACCAAATGTTCAGTTGCCTTTTACTTCCATGCTGAGACAATGAACATATCAAAATCCACTGAAGAATAAGGTGTTGATGTAGCAAGCTCAGAATGTGCCATCCACAGTCAAAAAGTATGCCAGGCAAGAAGGGCCCTAGGCCTTGCCTTGCAGCTGCTTCCCAACTTCTAATATAAATACTGGACATTTTCCATAGTTATAACAAAGATTAATTCCATATAAAACCTGTTAATTGGGGCAGCTAGGTGGCATAGTGGACAGAGCACCAGCCCTGGAGTCAGGAGGACCTGAGTTCAAATCCAGCCTCAGACATGTAATACTTCCTAGCTGTGTGACTCTAGGCGAGAAACTTAACCCCAATTGCCTCACTTAAAAACAAACAAACAAACAAAAACCTATTAAAACCTTAAGTGCTATTTTTTAAATGACCAAAATAGATTTTTCAAGCAAACTTTGCAAATTAAGTTTCACAAGAGATGTAGTATGTGCTATGATTTTATATTGTTAGTTTATATGACCTGACATCAGGTAAGGATTTGGGTTTGTTTGTTTGTTTTTTAATCCTAAAGCACTGGGAATCATTATAGACTCAACGTGTAAATAAGAAAATTATCAGTAAGCATAATCAGTAGGAGTAAATTAGACTGGGCTGAGCTATGTCCTATCCACACTGAGTGTGGTTCCCTGGAGTGAGGGGGCCACAGGCTGCCTAAGGAGGGTTGAACCTGTCTAGGACAAATAAATAGATAAATAAATAGGTAGATAAATACATATATAAACACACAAAGGAAGTGAACTGGATATCTAATGCAATTTTAGCCTTTAAAATTGAAGTTGGGGCAGCTAGGTGGCAGTGAATAGAGCACTGGCCCTGGGGTCAGGAGGTCCTGAGTTCAAATCCAGCCTCAGACATATAAAACACACTAGCTGTATGACTCTGGGCAAGTCACTTAACCTCAATTACCTTTAAAAAAAATTAAAGTTAATTATGGAATCTGAATGAAGAGAAACATTTTTTCTGCCTGCCTTTCCTAGAGGCATTTTATGACACACACAGTCACTCTCTCTCTACACACACACACACACACACACACACACACACACACACACACACACACACAATTTGCTTATTCCTAGATGAAATTTTCAGGTTTCAGTTTATATTTATATCCGCTATACAAACATAGGATATGGAGAGAACAAATGAAAGAAGTCCTTTAGCACCTTAGGTTAAAAGCTAAATATATTTAAACACACACTAAAAGTGAATTTGCCACCCACTCCTCTACCCCTGATTTTGTTTTGGTTTGTTTTTTTTGGTAGGCCATGGGGTTAAGATGAGTTTGCCCAGGGTCACACAGCTAGTAAGTGTCAAGTGTTTGGTCTGAGGCCGCATTTGAACTCAGGTCCTCCTGACTCCAGGGCCAGTGCTCTAACCACTGCGCAACCTAGCTGCCCCTGAAACTGATTTTTCCAACTGTCTTCATTTATGTAGTCTTTCAGCATTAGGGCTTATGCCATTCAAGTTCATAACAACATTTTTCTATCACAATGAAGCCACATAAAGTCACAAATTTGCATGATGTACTGCAATGGCATTTAAATGTGTAGCTTCTACTAATGCTCAGTGCTAAGCGTATGCTGCAGAGATTTATCTAGCAGTATCTGAACAGACCACATAGAGTTGGTAAGATAATGACAAAGTATTCTGGCTTAAGGATGCAATTATATCTGGAAAATTTTCAAGATTAGTCTAATCAGACATATAATTCCTAGTTGTATTTTTCCATATAAAAAAATAATGAACTATATCTATAGAACTCCAGAATCGCTTCATCACTGATTGAGACTCAGAAGGGGCTGCCTTGTCCAACACCTTCATTTCCTCATTTTCAGATGAGAACCTGAGGACCAGAGATTAACCTGCTCAAGGTGACACAGGCAGTGAGTGACAGAGCTGGGATTCAACCCCAGCTTGTCTGGCTCCAAATCCAGGGACTGATGATTCTTGTCTTACAGTTTTTATACTGGAACTTGTTTAGTCTTCATTCTTGAATGTATGGAATTTTAGGTTGGATGCAAGAGAAAATGAGTCAGATCTGGACCTTTCCCAAAACCTCATCTGTTCATTACTAAGAACCATGAAAAATCAGGAGCAAACAGCTTCTGGTCAAGATAGAGACTATCTGGTTAGTGCACACAGTGAAGGTGAAGATCATGTACGGAGTCCACGTGTGATTCGGTAGCTGCTTTTACAACATGAGCTTAGGTGTCTTTCCTTCAGCTCATGCTGGTTTAGAGGCAGGACACGAGGTTTGAGTGCTAAAGGTCAAACACTGACAGCTAGAAAAGACACCTAAAAAAACCATGGTGTAAATCTATGGCCGTTTATTGTAGTAGCTAGCTAACGGCCCTACACATCTTCTGGGATATCACTGACATTCATAATGATCCTGAATATAAGGAAGTGTGAATTTTGGAAATTTTCACAAGTGATTTTAAAAAGGCATAAACTGTACCTGGAAAATTCATTTGTGTGTAATAATTCATTCCTGGAAAATATACCAGATGATAGGTTAATGTATATTATTTTACAGATCATTTATTGTTAGTTCACAAATATTTAATTGTCATCAACTATTAGGATGTTTCTGTACCTCCTTTATTATCTTCTCTAGAGGACAAAAAATAAAAAAGATCTGTTTTCCAGAATAAAGTCTACCAATGAACAACTAGTTTAATAGCCTTTTTTTACTTATCCGCTTAATAGTGTAACAATGTTATCAAGTAATATTTGTACCTTGCCCAGGGATATGGCGAGAACAAATGAAAGAAGTCCTTTAGCACCTTAAGTTATAAGTTAAATATATTTAAACACACACTAAAAGTGAATTTGCCACCCACTCCTCTACCCCCTGAATGTAGTTATGTATACAAATGTTTATGCTCAGGACCCCCAACAAAGAGCAAAAGTTCTGTTCTCTTAATAGGCTACACAATATGTCATGACTTTAAGTAAGCTGAGGGAGGCTAGAAACTCTTTAATAATGGAATACTGCTCAATATACCTTCAAGTTTTACAACCTATTATGAATAAAAATGACTAGATTTAACATGAAATTGAATTTTTATTACTATAAGATGTAACTAATTTGAAAAAAATTAACTTGAAATAGAAATTATAGAAATAAAAAAGGTTCATTGCTTCAGGTAAAGTACAACACTCCTTATGCTGTTTTCTTTTTCTACTTAATACATGCTGGTTACTGTGCAGTCATTACAGAACATTATTAACAAAATTTAGGATCTACAAAGTCTAAGCAGTTCTTAAAATTTTAATTTTTCATTTGGGGCTCATCTCCACTCCATTTTTCATTATATAACACCTACTCATTCCTTGAGACATTTCAGTTAGGAAATTGTGTTCCAATTAAAGAAGATTTAATTTGCTACATATGAAATTCACACTCAAGGAAATAAAACATAAGAGAAGAGCCTTTAATACGTACCTGACACCCCACCCGTGCAGAAAGTTATGCCAAAACTTTCCAAAACAAATTGCCAAGGATACTAAATTTGATAATCACTAACAGCCACTATCCATTCACC